AAAAAGAATTCCCACCCCCCCCCCCCCCCCAGCGTGTATTTGGATGAGGGTGAGGACTGGTAGGTGATGTGCTGGCTAAAGTGTGCCCAACCTCTCACAAACCATACCACTCTATATCCCAACAGGAGAAGATTGGAGCCGCTTTTATGTGGCATTTATGCTGCTCCAACTGATGTTTACTTTTGGTAATTAGCCTACTTAGCTCCACCCCAAAAAAAGTCCACTGCCATGTTTTGCCTATTTGCCATATTTTGTACCAAGTCAGCTGCAGTTTTCAACTACATACCACAGAAGAGAATTTCTATCCTGGCATAGCAGCTGCCCTAAATATCATCCAGTGAAAAGGCAGATGTTCAATTATCTGTAGCCATAGTGGCAAGCAGTATGTACAGACATTTCTTCACCCCACATCTACAATGTACAGTAGAGTTTATACTATTGTAGTGATGGAGGTGTCCTTTAACATCTTTGTAGTGTGGGAAATTCAATAAAGTCACTTGCCGAGAATGAATATATTGCATTTTCAGATAGTCCTTTATCCAATTCCAAGATGTGGCTTTCGTGTTAACTTGTGTCCACTCCTTGCAATATAATAGAGGCTAGAAGTAAGATTACTGTAAATACTTGTGCAGTACATGAGATATCACCAGCTAACACAATGTAGCCACTTGGAGAACATAGTAATGTTAAGTCCTTATGACATCTCTCATGGATGAGAACTCTTCTGTCAATATAATAACTTTATTGAAACCCAGGGAGAAGCAGGACTTGCGTCAAGTGAAGAATTTGCCGCAGCTTGAACAGGTGGTGAGCCAGGATGATCCTCCACAATCTGCAGGGCAGGAGCAATGGCAGGAGGACCAAAAACCCCTGGAAGAACAGGCAGAAGGCCAGATGTAGCACGGCTAATTCAAGGAAATAAAAGGCTAATAGTTCTGCCCTAGATTTCTAAAAATGCAAGTCACCTTTCTGTTATACCAACCTTCTGACTTCATTATCTGCATTCTGGTGCGGGATAAGAGTTCATCCAAAAACCAGAGGTTCCTCATAACAAACAGTCAACTAGCATTTTCAGAAGCAAAGACAGTGGCAGGGCCCCATCATTCTCTAATGGCTAGGTTAGCTAGATCAGGTTTGGTGTAGGTAGAGGTTTAAAACTATGAATATGTATTAGCATCTTTCTCATGTGAAAAAAGACTTAGGCCCCGTTCACACTGAGCGATTTATCGCGCGGTAATTCCCGCGATATCGCGGCTATTTACCGCGCGATATCGCTCTCCAATGGGGCAAAGGGTCCTGCTGTCGCGGGTCGTGCGTCGCTACAGCAGGACCCTTTTTGGAGTGGATTTTGCCACGATTCTAGCTTGCTCAATGCAAGCAATTGTGCAATATCGCGCGACAAATCGCACAATATCGCGCAGTGTGAATGGGGCCTTAGTGGTTAGATCAGGTGGTCAACTTTCTAGGTATAGGGGGCCTCAGCCTCTGACATCCAAGGGGCTGCACATAATATTCAGTATATGTAATGCAGGGGACTGTCAGAATCCAGAGACCTTGCACGTGACTGTCAGAGATTTAAGGCCTACTGCAGACTTGATGTATGAGACAATCAGAGAATTACTGCAGGAGCCTATCAGAGAATGCAGACATACCCCAGGAGTGGCATGCTGCATGAGACTGTAAGCCTGGGTTCACACCTAGGCGTATCAAATATGCGTGTTTGTCACGCGTTTACCGCGATTCGCGGGGGGGGGGGGGGGGGAATGCGCGACAAACGCATTTCCGAGGGCTACCTGGCTGTATCCCGATGGATACGCGCGGCAAATACGCCCCAAAAGAAGCTCCTGTACTTCTTTGGGCGTAGGGCGTTTTGTAGCGCGTTCATCCGGCCTGTAATACGCCCAGGTGTGAACCATACCCATAGGAAATAATGGGATTTTGGTGTTTGAGCGTTTTGCAGAGCATAGGAACGCGTTACAAAACGCCCAGGTGTGAACCGGGCCTAACAGATCACTGCCATTGCAGCCCTTTAACAATTCAGTCATTTTTCACTACTATGTGTGGCTTTCGGACCCCAGGAAAGTACTAAAGGGCTATGTGGCCCTTTGGCTACAGAGAATGACACAGCCTACGGTTAAATGATAGCCACTGCAGACAAAGAAACACAGCAGTTTCCATCTTTTGTTACAGAGCACCTTAGGCAGGATTCACACCAGTTCTGTTGCAATTACCATGCGGTGACATGTGCTTAATGTACTTTCATTGAAATGCTTTCACACCCATGTTGTAACACATTGCAGTAATGTGCAAAGCAGAAACCAACATCCATTTTCCCCCCCTTACTGTGTACTGCAGCTCACTGTACCATGTGATGCGCTGTTTAAGTGCAGCATGTTCCATTTTCACCCAGCGCACAAAAACGCAGCACGGGTTTGTCTTTGTGTTGGGCCTGCGGTGAGCAATGCAACCTAATGCACATGGTATAAATAGGACCTAAATCACTGGCAGACAATCAGTTACCAGCATATTTATTTCAGTGTGTTGCAAACAAGGTGACTGGTTAAATCTTACAGTAGCTAAAGATAAAATTGCGGCGGTTACTTGGTTCTCAGCCTTGTAAGCATGAGCACCAAATCTTTGAGCATGTGAAAACACAAACTGACTAGCTGCATGCAGTGCCCATGGGTTCTTTAACCCCTTCCTGGTGGCAGTCCGTGTATTAACATTCCCTGGCACGGGTCCCTGTGCAGAGGATAAATGAATACATGTTCTCTCTTAAGGACCAGCAGCTGACACTTATGCAGGGCTGCTGACTCTATTCCAGCTATCACTGACAGCCGGGGTCCCACTGATGATCAAGAACCATTCAGAGTGGTTCCTGATCATGTAACCACTATATCAGATGTGATAGTGATCACATGCAGGCTGAAGGCTTCATTATAAAGCTTGTAGATGAACACCACCATCTTCAGGCTGGAGTGTTCATATACAGTAACACATTTAATAATTCAACTTTTCAGATACAGTTGCAAGATTAAACATTATACATTTAAAAAAAAGTCTAATTGCTGCACCTTTGCCCCCCTATAATAAGAAGAAATCAGGTCCCTTTTAGAATTATACCTCAGTACCAGAAAAACGTAGAAATCCTTTAACATATGTATAGAAATTTTTCAAATGAGTTACAGCTTTATTGTTATATTACCAACACATGAATCAATCACTCCTGGTCTCAAAAGGGTTAAAAGTAATACTGGGGCAGGCATTGCTAACCCCCAAATCCTAGCTGTCTGACTTTCATACTGATCCAATAGTTCCAAGTCAATGACCTGGAGCAAGGATGAAGCCAGTTAAGTCAGAACTTCTTATCTGCATGTTTGTTCGAACTTCAAACTCAGAGTAAGCTATTGCAGCCTTACTTCTCTCAGCACACACCTGTCAGGGGAGAAAAAGCTAGTCGCCCGTGTGTTCTGCTGACCTATTGGATACAATAAGGCGCACTATACACTCTACAATCAGATTGTACGTTCTCCTTTAGATCTACCAACAAGCAAGTAGTGCAAGGGCCTGACTGGTTGGAAACAAATTGATTGGATAGTTTAGGCTGGCCCTCATATTACATCTGAAGTAGATTGTATGGTGAACCTTAGCCAAATATATGGAAGATCTGGCATGTTATGGAAAAGCCATGAGCCCATATCTGCATACTTACTTATGATGGATTGTGTTAATAATTAAGCTGGCAGGTCAGTGCAATAGGCGAGCTATTATTATACTCCCCTCTCTGCTATATCCCTCCATTCCAGCACTGCAGCTTCTATAAAAGGTGCCCATACACTGCACGATTATCGTACGATAATCGTATGCGACCGGTTTTTCGTACGATAATCGAGCAGTGTGAACGGAGACGTGCGACCGTTTCTACTGTACGGTCGCATGTCTTCTGTCGAACCAGCATGTTCGAAAACCAGCCGGGAATCGTACGATTCTCGGCTGGTTAGAACGGTGCTCGGAAGATAAATGCTGAATGGGCCGGTGTGCGCACGCGCACACTGCCCGTTCAGCATTGCGGTCATCGGAAGCCCGCCCCTCAGGGGGGCAGGCTTGCGATGATCGAGAGTGCGATCTGCCTGTCCAAGATGGGCAGATCGTACGTTTTTTTAATCCCTTTACAACCATCGCAAGACTAAAGTCTTGCGATGGTTGTAGAGTGTATGGCCACCTTAAGGCTCCTCAGCATTTGACATTTCTGGATGGATGTCTGTAAGCTACTCTGCACGCTGCAGTTCCACTGCTGAGTCCTGTAGTGGCTTGGGGACCCACGGGGTCCCAGGATTGTCTGACAGGCTGCAGCCTTGGAAGCTAAGAGATACGGGATGGCGGATAGGGGAGTACATTCGTTCTTCTACTGCATGGATTGGCCAGTTAGATTTTATTTAGGTGGCCGAGACAACATTAAGCAATCAGCTAAATGTACAAATAACATGTATTTATAGGAACTTTTAACCTGCCAAAGGATTTGTATTTCTTTCCATCCAGTCCTGAAATGTGCATGCCCTGCCAGACAGCAGAGCCAAGTGGATGACCTGACTTTTCTCTACACCAGTTAAAGCTGAAATGAGTGCAGCTCTATTTATTTATACATTTGTATTTTAAAGAGGTGTCAATACTTGAATTTGACTTTAGATCAGCCTCTGTGCATAGCTCAGACTGGGAGAGGGAGCACAAGGAGCCATTCAGCTGTGCTGCAGTGCAAGGAGCTTGCTGATGGGAAGAAAGATGAGCTCATCAATCTGATGCTTCTCCTCCCACTGTCTAGTCACAGACCGGGGAAAGGACAAGAACTGCAAGTGTTAGCAAACTATGGAAGAGAAAAATCATACCTTCTGCCCGGCTAGACGTGATTGTGGTATGCGATAAGAGCTGTTAAAATCTCAGGACTGAATGGACAGAAATACAAATGCTTTGGCAGGTAACCAGCTCCTATACATGTATTTATCTGTTTACCTGGAATTCAGATTCAACACAGGTTAGTCTCGTTCCTACTGCGAGCCAGTGACAAGCAGCAGACAGAAGAGCTCATCTCTCTGCTCTCGCCTCCTGGCATGCAGCATATTTCATTGGCCTTAGTGCTGCTTCATAGGGGACTACTATAGGCTGACAGATCAAATTCAGGTACGTGCACTAGTTGATGCTGAAGTTCATTTTTGTTTTTTTCTTTGTGGTTTTAATAAATACACAACTGATTTTTTTTTTCCTGTCTGGGTTCCCACTTTAAATTAGGAAAGTAAGCAAAACCGTCAGTCACCAGCATTTTCACACCATCACTACTGCCAGCCTGCACATTGTCACACTTTATGGCTTTTCCAGGGAGCCTCTGTAAAGTGATATTAAAGTCGACATTTTTTTCCCCTCCCCCCAATGTTAATGAAAGCACTTACCTTAAATGATGTCTCTTATTCCGATCTTCTTCTTTCCTGTCCTTTTCAGCCTTCTCTCCAGCGCTGCTGCAGGTCTCCGATCCAGCGCCGACTCCTCTGTCCTTGCTGGCACTTCCTGTCCCACAAGAGTCTGCACGCGTCCATAGACTTACCTTGTGTCTCTCCTCGTCTCCCGGCCGAAAATCTGAACTGCGCATGCGCCCGCCCCAAGATGCTTTGCGGCCGCCCGAGACTTTTCAGATTTTCGGACGGGAGTGCGGGGTTGAAGACGGGTAAGTTTAAACCTGTTTCAAAGGGTTTTTTTTTTATTTATTTTTTAACCCCTTCATGACTGAGGCCCTTTTTTCATTTTTTGCACCCATGTTATATTCCACATTTTAGGCCTGAAAATGACGTAAAACCCCCCAACATCGCCAGGATCGCTTCTGTTGTAAAGCCGACAGTCGGCTCTACAAGTTTAAACAGAGTCCCGGCGGCAAAAGTCGCCGGGAGTCTGTTTAAACAGCCCCGATGCTGGCGACGTACACTGTACGTCGTCAGTCACGCAGAGGTTAAATTTTTGCATATATCTACTGCTTGCTAGCTGTATATGTAGATGTATGCAAAAACACCCAAGGCTTTAATAACCCTTTAACCTCTGCCCATGTATGCAAAAGAAGCTAATCTGTGAATATTCAGAATGTGACTGAAGACTTGGTCCTTTCCGGAAAGCACCTCTGCTTGTTAGGGGAGATAATGCCAGTTACTAGGTACAGTTAGCAGCACACCAACAACTAGCTCAATGTTCTAAAAAACAAAAGGGAACAGAGCGCCACCTCCGTGTGTTAAATCGTTTATTACAATAAATAAAACAAGGGATAAAAGTACTCACAAACAAACGTTTTCATCAGGCTTGAACAACAAATGAGAGGCCACACTCATTTTATTCCTTGTTTTATTTATTGTAATAAACGATTTTACACGCGGAGGTGGCGCTCTGTTCCCTTTTGTTTTCTATATGCGTGGTGGAAGCCCCAGAACCTTGGATGAGCAGCCCCTCAAGTCTGTGTGAAAAACTGTGATAAATTGTTGAAAACTTTGAGTGTGCAACAGCAAGTGGATTGTTCAGCTGGCAGCCATTAGCGCCAAGAGCTGAAGAAAACTTTTTAGCTCAATGTTCTAGCCTGGGCTCCAAGGTGGGAATGTGATCCAGGGCCACATGACCTGTGAAACATATACTGTGTAAAGAGAATTCCTCCAAGTGTGGAATTAATATAAGAAAAATCACCTTGGATGTCATCAGGGAAGGATTAGAATATTTTTAGCAATCAATAAGAATTTACTAGTGATGATGTGCCTGTACACCAGGATATTCTGACACATTGAACAATGTCTATGCAACCAGTCACCAAACTTATTTCTATACTGAAATACTTCCACCCTGTGTGCACTGCGTGCGGCCACAGAGGGTCCCCTTTCATCAGGCTCAGAGCCTGATGAAGGGGACCCTCTGCGGCCCCGGAAGCGCTTGCAGTTAAATGGCAATGTGCTAATAAATCGACTATTGCTTCATTAACCCTTGGAGTGCTGGTGGCGTTATTTTCTATCGTATCTCTTCACGGTGCCATCCGTGGCCACTACAAGCACCCACCCGTCCACACGGGTCCTTTTTTTGACTCCGGTAAGGAGTGCAGCAAGAACTCTTGATTTCTGTGTGTGGCCAGTCGCAAGCTTTTACCTTGAACCCATAATGCAGGAGAAACAGGGAAGGTAAAGACTGATGCCTACTGATCCATACAGAACACTGTACTAATGCTTCTACCTAGCCCAGGGGTAGGCAACCTTGGTTCTCCAGCTGTGCTGAAACTACAAATCCCATAAGGCATTGCAAGCCACAGGTATGACTCCCAGAGGCAGACGCATGATGGGCTTTATAGTTTCAGCACAGCTGGAGATCCAAGGTTTCCTACCCCTGACCTAGCCAATAGCATTAGTGTAAATTCTAGGAGGAGGGCGGTGAGCCCAAAAAATGATGCCACAATGAAATTCTGGAATCAGGGGGGTCCCTAGACCAGCGGTCTCAAAGTACCAGCCGGAGTTGGCCCGCGAGCCGGTACTAAGTGGCCCGCAGCCAGCTGACAAGTCGGGCACATGGTCATGGACCGCGTGCCCGGCTTGCAAGAGCAGCTACTTTATTAATATGTGTGCTGGGGGGCAGTATTCACATATGATTACACGCGGTGTGCAGGCGTTTACATGCAGCAGCTGTCACCCGATCATTCATTTGAATGGGTCACAGTTGCCGCTTGTAACATGCACACATTAACACTGGTACCGTATATAGTAGCGGCCCCCACGGGACTAAAAAATGTGTCCAGTGGCCCCGACTAAATTGAGTTTGAGATCCCTGCCCTAGACGTTTCGCCACCTGAGGTCGGGGGCGGGGGGAGCGGCAGATTTATGGTGCACATGACCCAATGAGAGGCTGTCTGAGGTGACCACTTCAGGGTACCTCACTATAGGGACGGTCCAGCCTAGAATGCAAATAATTAAATTATTATCGGGTTATATTGGGATACGGTCTCAAAACAATGACATTTAGATTCCGATAAGACTATAAACACCCATGGGCACCGTGTAAAAAAGGTTTAGCACCTCAGCATGAAAGGATAGGTTCAGACCACTCTTTTCTAAATCTACTTACATCTCCTCACTGGCATTCTGCCGCTCCACTTTCAGTGCTGTCTCCAGATTCTGCACCTGCATCCTCTTCTGGTCCATCTGTATCACATGCTGCTTCATCTGCAACTCCCACTCTCGGTGCTGATCTTTCAATGTCCGCAGGCTGCAGCAAAAAGATCATATATTTCACATGCATTCTATTAAATGGTGGCGTACACATTACAGCATTGCTACTTAAAATAGAGACTGAGCACACCACTGCCCTTTCTAAATGATTAGTTTTAGGTGACCTGACCCTTTAACACTTTATCAGCCAGCAAATGAACCAAGGATGTACTGATACTTTTCCTCAAGTACTCGCCGATACCAATTACTGATCATTTTTTAGTGTCATGTGACAGTTATTCTAAAACAATAAATACAAATGGTTTTAGGACAGTGGTGGAGTGCCAGGGCCCAGTCTCAGTTCCAACCACTGCGACCCTGGTAGTTCTGCACTGACTCCAAGCTGTAGAGGGACTACAAATGCCAGTGATACATTATACAGCAATGCAGAATAATATGGAACTAAATACTCTGTGTTGCTCTCAGGAGGGCTGTGCAGGGTCCCCCCAGTAGGGAGGAGGAGGAGATGTGCGAGCCGGCACTGTAAGCAGGCTCCTCGTGATTCACAAGAAGGCTGCCAAGGTCCCCAGCAAGCGCAGGACCTCAGGCAGCCTCTTCCATTTAAAAATTTAAGTGCATTTAGGGGCACTTTCACGTGTACGAGTACTCATGAAAATGCCCAGTATCAGCATCGCTACCGTTATTAGTGCATCCCTAAAATAAACTAAATAATAAACTTTTCTTTGTTTTAGATAGAATGGTAAGCGGTTAGCATCCCAGTCAGGTTTTTATTGCTCGTCTGTGTCTTTTTGTTTGTTTTAAGCTTTTTAAACCTCTTTTTAATATTATTGATAGCCTTCCTTTTTTACAAATAATGTAATACTTGACAATGGATTCCCAAGCATTATGGGTTAGCTTATGAGACATCACAGCAGACTTATGTTTGACTAAAGCCTAGCACTAAGTTTCCTTCTGTGAAAAGGAGACTGCCATTTCCTGGCTGAGCATTACGCTACATAATTATGCCCTTTAAAAACTAAGAGGTCTGCATAAGATTAAGTACACATAGAGGTAACTGCTGCCTACACTTTTCTAAAGCCAATTCCCGTTTCAGGAACCATTCTACCAGAAGGCATAGTACACTGCAGATTACCTGCCTTGTGATTGGTCATAACCGCCAAGCATTGGCACCTCTTACCTTTCTTGCACCTTCCTCTTCTCCATCTGAGAGGTCTCCAGGCTCATCTGACTCTCCTTTAACTCTCCAAGTAAAGAGGTCACCTGAGCCTTGACAGAAGCCTTTTCCTCAGCCAGTAGCTACAACACACAAATACAACAATGTTAACAACTTGCTTTCTTTGGGCAAGGTACAAGTGAATGACCGAGCAGTAATTCAAATATAGTAAGCAAACATACTGAGGGGAATTTATCAAAACTGGAGCAGTCAAAATCTGGAGCAGCTGTGCATGGCAACCAATCAGCTTCTATCTTTCAATTTCAAATCTTACCTCAACAGACTGAAGAGAAAAGCTGATTGGTTGCCATAGGCAACTACCCCAGATTCTTCTGCTCCAGTTTTTTTTAAATTCCGCTCACTGAATCCTTAGTTTACAACTGACTCAAAACTTGACAATGTTTGCTCTTTAAATATTTCCCATGCCCAGTTTCACCCCCAGAGCATACAATTACCTGTCCTAGTAGATTTGTACAATGTGGCCTGCTAGCAGCTACACAGCCTCCTCATGAAAAACATCCTGGCTGGTTAATATGCATTAACATCATTTCTATTTCAACATATTTGATAAAGCAAAACATTAGATCTTTATTCAAACAGTGCCTACGGGAAAAGGTGACAGCAGCGCCAAGCGGGGAGGAGAGAAACTATGGATGCACGGCAATTTCTGCCGATAAGTTTCGGCGTCCAAAATTTCGGCGAAGCCCTAGTTTTAACCCATCTGAAACGTCAGCTTTGGTGGGCGGACCTTTTAATATCCTTAACAGCGATTTAAAAAAAACCCCAAACAACATCTGTAATCCGTATGTTGCTATGGGTTAATGCACTTATGTTACCTCCCATTAATATTAAAATAGTCCAGTTGAGTCACAATGTTGTTTACCTGGAGCTGTCTTTGAGCTTCGACCCCTTTGTCTTTCAGCTGGTCTTTCAAGTTTGACACCTCCAGCTGCAGCGCAGTAATCTTTTCCTGCAGCTGTGCATTCCTGTGAATAAGACCAGATTCAGGGATCAGTTCATAAAACAAACTGGACCATGTCCATGTTTCCCTAGAAACCCATCTGATCCCCTCTCATCTGTGTTGCCTGCTTGTTATGGCACCAAACACCTTCCTACACTTCTTATATATAGATCATTAGCCATTTTGGGATGCTCACCGACTCTCTGCCTCCTGGAGCTTCTTTTGCAGATCCTGCTCCCTTTCTGTACTCCTAAAACAGACAGGCTGTGAGTGCTGTGCGTGATGATCAGGTGCAGAGCGGTAAATAACAAACACAACAAAGCCTTGGGGGCAATGCTAAACAAGAACATCCTTGTACATCATACAATAACTTTTTAGATAAGGATAGCCATTTAGAAATGGGGAATTAGCAATATTCTGAAGAGGGTGTGAAGAGAGGGGGAGAGAGAGAGAGGGAGAGAGAGAGGGAGAGAGAGAGGGAGAGAGAGAGGGAGAGAGAGAGGGATAGAAGCTTATATTTGATCTCCAGGCACAAAAAAGAAGATTACACCTACTAATTAGTATAAAAAAAATAGAACATACAGATTGTAGAAGAGTGGTGTGTACAGCAAGCTTGTTGAGCTTTGAGCAACTTTGTTGGACCCTTTAAGAGTACCATTCAGCTTCAGTTTCGGGAGGGCAAGCACATATCTTAATGGAAGTGCTGTCACTTTTAACAGTCTTCAATACTACTTGAAGTTGGTTAAAAGCCTGCAAGCTGTTTGTTTATAATCAGCATGGCTTGGACATCCATGTGAGCAGCTGTGCTGCCATGAGATCCTGATCACCCATCATAAGAGGCAAAAACCGGGCTAAGCCCGTCCAAACACCCAATGAAAGGATGCAAGATTCCCATCTCAGCTGTTACAGGAGTTCCAGCACCGTACTGTGCTAGAACTCTTGTATTGTAGGTGACAGGTTCAATAAAGAGAACCTGTCACCTCCGAATGCGATCACACAGGGGCTTGTTAGCTCTTGTGTGATAGCAATAAAGTTAAGTGGAAAAAAAAAATAAAAAGTAAAAGATAAGAAATAAAAAAATTTAAAATACTAACAAAAAAAAAAACCAACATTAAAACCACCCCGCCATCTAAAAGCGAATAAACTCATGCGTAGGGCATTGTGTGTGTACAGCGAGTGCTGCCCTCTTTCCACCTGGTGCCATATTGTGGTAGCCGGGCAGCAGCGCTCACTAACACGCACAATGCACATTGAAGGGTAAGTAATTTGGGAAAATGAAATTACCCGCCCAAAACTGGCCAAATCGTAAGGAAAGCTACAACACAAAAATGCTATAGCTTCTCCACAGACTATAGACATGTGAATTAATTTAGTAAACTCCATACTACAAAATAAGAGAGTAGTTTAACAACATTGTGCAAATGCCTCCAAATTCAAACAAATGTGGCAACTCAGACCTGGCCCTGAATTGTATTCTCCTGAAAAAAAAGTGATAAAACTCCTATAATGCTACTGCAAATAATAATAATAATAATAATATCACTGATTGAATATTACCATGATTGATATTTAGAAATAAAAACATCAACTCTACAAATAAAAGGAAAAAGAACCAGCCCTTTAAATCAGATTCTCTATAAAAATTGCTTGAATTAAAAGAAGAAGAAAAAAAAAAAGAAAAAAAAAAAAACCTAAAACCTGGAACTGAAGCTTCCTTCAAAAGCCCGTGTAAACAAGGCCATGGCATCTTTCTTTTCTGGCATTTTAGGTTGTATGTCATCATCAACATTTCCCAACACTATGGAACATTACTCTCAAAGCCCAGTCACCGAAACACCCCCTTCTACTAAAGGAACCTTGAAACACCCCCGCCCCACTTGTCATCCTCCCACATGGCTTCAGTTGATCCCATTATGACATCTTTTGCATTCATGGACATTACAACATGCCTGGTACAAGCACTTGGTACCTGTCCAGTAATGCTCTCAGCTAAAATCACTCCCTGGTAGTTACCAAAGCAGGCTCCTGCCTCCACATTCAATACTGCCCACATTATAAAACACACACACAGCCTACCCTGACACCGGAACTTCCGGTATCAGGAAGCCGGGCGGCGAGTCATCAGGGAGCATAGAGCTGGCTTCCCAGACAATCAGGAAGTTGGGGGTCAGGTTATGACCCACCCACCCCGGCTTCCTGATCAGCCAGGAAGTCGGCTCCATGCTCCCTCGTCACCTCATCAAAATCTGATCTGAACATGTGTATGCCCTGCCCCGACTAGGTTTTCTCCTAACACTAAGAACTCACCTTTCATCTTGACCTTGCAGGACTTCTATTTCTGTAACTGCCTTCCGGAAGGCGCGTTCCTCCTGCAACAGCACAAAAACAGTAAGTAGATATAAACTGGAAAATACTAAACAAGATACCACTGATTTCCCAATCCCTCACCCGAATCCTGACCAAGTCTGTAGCTGGTGACTCAAGAAGTCGATTCCTTTCACTTTCCATTATGATATCATCCTGCGACGAGAAAGAACCAAAAAAATGATGAACACAAATGGTTAAATGTACATAATGGCACAAAACAAAAGTCAATGCTCAATTTACTTCCATATTTCATCTGTGCGCCATGAAAAGGAATCGTCAATAAAAAATAAAGCGAGATGTACGATTCCCTATATTGCATGGAGTGTGAAACAGAACTTCTGCAACCTGGTTTCCATGTACTGTAGCAATTCTAGAATTTACCTGATGAGTCTGTTAAAGAGAACCGATCAAGTGATTCAAGACTTGATTTTATCCATATTCAAGGTTTGTTTTCTAGACCCATTTGAGGTTTAGCTTTGTATAACTTTATAACATTCTAATGTCATAAGGATGTGTATACTGTCTTTATTGGAAACATTTTATAAAAATTGTCAATTTAAAAGAGAAAAAAAAAAAAGAAAAGAGAACCGATCACAAATGGGATTTTGCAAAATAAAAAAAAAACACATGCAGTACAACTGCAATATAAGCACAGTTTTCCCATGTCTTGTCTCTAACTGCAGAAAAACACCTGTTAATCTGCCAAAAATTCAGTGAGCTCCTATCCTCCCATCTGAGCTCAAACACAGTGCCTTTGCTACATTTAAGTCCCAACGACAGAACACATCCCACACGCCATAACATAGGAGGATCAGTTCTGTAGTCCAACAGAAGAGAACACAGCCAGAGCTGGCTACACTGGTTGGCATTTGTTAAACAGGAAGCTAGGAGCTCACCGGCTTTCTTTCAGATGAGTAGGTAATATTCTGTTACTTGCATCATTTTTAAAGAGATAAAACATGGTGAAATGAGCATGTGCTGCATGTATTGCAGAGATGTATTGAATATTTTGGTTTTTTATTTTGTCCTGACATACATTTCATGCTAGTTTCAGATATCAGAAGTCAGCCAACCATCTAACGCAATATTTTTCTGCAAGTACAAAGTGTGTGTGTGTGTTCTCACTAAATAAGGGAACAAAAAGTAATTGAAGGTTGAAGAATCCAATGTTTGCATCACCCCGGTCATGAGTGGTTCTCCATAAAGCTTGCCTACTTAGACATACTGGTACATTGTGGGGATGATGTCTGAAAACGGCAGTGATAAAACCCGATTAAAAGAAGATCGGCGGCACACAGCAACCTTTTCATTTACTCAGTGAGTGAAGGACGAAATCTGATTGGTGGCCATTTGTAATGGCTCATTTAACAGGTCAGTTACCTTAGGAAAAACATAAAAACTAATTTTTACACGCAAGAAACCAGAATTGGACTTGATATCCACTTCTTGTAAGGTCCTGGAAAGCAGAACTCAGACTGGGAGAGGGAGGGGAAGCACTGGAAGCCAAGCATGTGAACTGCATGCACACGTGCCGACAAGGAGCATGCTGACAGGAGGGAGGAGTAAGAGGGATAAGATCATCTGTCTACGGTTTCTCCTTCACTGTCCAATCACAGGCTGAGGGCAGGGAGGTGACCAAGTTGTATTGCTTAACTGCAGTATAGAAAAGTTAGGTCACCAGGCTGGCTTTGGTTTGTGGCAGGCTGTGTAACTCTCTGGACTGAATGGACATAAATACAAATCCTTTGGCAGGTAAAAGTTCTTTTATGTGAAGTTTGACTGTGTAGTTAGCCTTTTAGCTTTAATCCTCTGAAGGTCTCATTAGGCATACATGCAATATGCTTCTTAATTTCCATTGCCACTAAACAAAGACTTATAGCTGTGCAAAGTAAATCCACTCTCGTCTCCATAAAGAACTTTTGTGTAAAACTAGAGGCCATCACCTAAAATTGATGGAAAAAAAATTCCAGCACAAGGGGCGAAGGGGGTTCTTCACAGTAAGATCAGTTAGGGTCTGGAACTCACTGCCACAGGCGGTGATTTCAGCAAATAATGTGGAATTGTTCAAGAAACTTTTGGACGATTTCTTAAGGGACCGTAATATACAGGGGTACGGGTACTCCTAGAATGAGATCCTAATAGGTTGGACTTGATGGACTAATGTCTTTATTCAACCTCAAATACTATGTAAATCTAGGGTTTAAAAACCAACATGTTCTTCTTAGAAGAAGAATATTGGCACCCCCGCATTTCTGTCAGATAATGCACCACTACGCAGAGAATTACAAATGTTTAGGCATTCTGTTTCTTTGCTTGTATTGGTATTCCACAAAAAAGTGGAGGGAAAAAAAAAGCCAAATCTGACACATTCCACACAAAACTCTAAAAATGGACTGGACAAAATTGGCGCCCTCAATTAATATTTGGTAGCACAGCCCTTGGAAAACTAACTGAAATCAAGCGCTTCCTGTAACCATCAATGAGTTTCTTACACCCCTCTACTCTTCTTTCACCAACTTTTCCAGGTCTCTCAGAGTGGAAGGTTCCTTTTCCCAACTGCTGTTTTGAGGTCTCTCCACAGGTGCTCTGTGGCATTCAGATCTGGACTCATTGCTGGCCAGTCCTGTACTCTCCAGAGCTTTGTCTGAAACCATTTCTGGGTGCTTTGCGTCATTGTCCTGCTGTAAGACCCAACTTTCTGACACTGCGCCCTACATTGCACCCCAGAATTCTTTGGTGGTCTGCAGATTTCATAATGCCATGCACACAGTCAAGACATCCAGTGCATGAAGCAGCAAAGCAACCCCAACACATCAGTAAACCTCCACCATGTTTGACTGTAGGGACTGTATGTTTTTCTTTAAAGGCCTCATTTCTTTTTCTGAAAACAGTAGAATGATGGGCTTTACTAAAAAGCTGTAAATTTTTTTTCGTCTGTCCACAGCACATTCTCCCAAAAGGATTTTGGCTTGCTGAGGTAAGTTTTGGCAAACTCAAATCTGGCTTATGTTTCTGTGTCAGCAGTGGGATCCTCCTGGGTCTCCTAACATAGCGTCCCTTTTCATTCAGATGGCAATGTATAGTGCGAGCTGACACAGTTGTACCATGTGCCTGAAGGTCAGCTTGAATGTGTCTGGAAGTTGATCGAGGGCCTTTACCCACTTTTACAACAATCCTTTGTTGCAATCTTTGATCAATTGTTCTTTGGTCCACATCCAGGGAGATTAGCTACAGTGCCATGGGCTGTAAACTTCTTGACAATGTTGCTCACAGTGGACACAGGAACATTAAAGGAGAACTATGGGGTTAGGTCTTTTCCCCATAGTTCTCCTTAAGGTAACGGGAGGACACAAACTAGTGTACTCCGTGACAGCTGGCTCTGCCTATCTAGAGGCAGAGCCAGCTGTACCCGCCCCCTCCCACGTCCGTTCCGCCAGTCAGCGCTGGCGGATCGGAGCAGGGAGGGGGGAACCCAGTCCCTCCCTTGTCACGGCAGAGAGCCATGACAGGATCGAGAGGTGAGCGAACGCAAGAATGTGTTCGCCCACTTCTCAATCTACTGGGCCGACCTGTGACAGTCTCATTGTCACAGGTCGGCTAGAACTAGGAGGTGAGTGAAAAGCACTCACCTCATAGTTCTCCTTTAAGATCTCTGATGTGATTTCTATATTGTCAGCACCTGTTAATTGATACCGGTGAGTTTAATTACAAATTACAGGAGCATCACAAACTTGGAATTAAATTATTTCTTGCAAATTGAAGTCCATTTTGGGACTTTTTGTGGAATGCGTCAGATTTGGCTTTCTTTTTGTCCCCTTTTTTTGTGTCATACCAATACAAAAGAAATAAACATGAGAATGCCTAAACATTTGTATGGGTTGTACTACAATGGCAGGTACACTTCAAATAAAATATGGCCTCTCACCCCTTTCTATCAACACTCTTGCAATCTGCAACACTTATACGAGGCTTCACTTTAGTAAAAGATGGGAGCTCTCACCTGCTCAGCTCGGGGTGGCCCCTGGTGATGTCGTGCTGACTCTCTGATGACTTCACACATACTGGGGGTTAGCGTTTCACAGTAGGACAGAGAGCTCCCAGGGCTGTTAGCCTAATGACATACAGCACAGCAGTCAAGCAGGGGCCAAACCAAGGATCAGGCAGAGAAAAGAATGCAGGAGCTCTAAAGCAATGGAAATGTGATTGTGGTGTGCTTGGAAATCAAGATTCAAGAAGTCAAATTTGTAGTGCAATTTAAAAATGAACAGCAGCAATCTATACATTTATAGCACTACTGACATTTGCCAACAAGCCCAACTATGCTTGGTGAACACTGACAGGCCTGTACGAAATAAGCAGTTTGTTAAAGGGCTAGTTCACCTATTGACCTATGCAGTTAAGAGGCTCAGTAGATAAAAAAATACTGTGCACCTTGGAAAGATACAACTTCTTTTTTAAATGGGCCATGAGTGGCATTCCCGAAACCAGGCTGAAAAACTAGCAGTGTGGGCATTCCTACCCATCGTGCCTAGATGCTAGGACGCGCTGTATGTTGAGTGCACCACAGAACGAGCGCCCTCCCTTGTTCAAAACAAACCCCACCCACCCCCCTTCCCCCATATTTCCTCTTTATTTTAGATGGAGTAGAAGAAAAAAAAAAGTTATAACCTTCAGGTTTTTCTGCGACTTATTGAGTATGCATTGGGGAGATTCACTCTCATGTCCTATCATGTCACTAATAAAGCTGTATTAGACAGACGTTCACTATATGTAGAAAAAACAGTCGTGGAAGGAGTTCTACTTTAACAATCTAAACTAGGGGAAACAAGTCACAAGCTTCAAATGTGAATGGGTAACAGGGACACATTCAACATTTACAAGCGGTCGTTCACTAAAACTATATTTGTGTATAGTGGCAAAAAAGCATAAAGTGCAAATAGGCAGTTTTAGCTACAGAGGTCGCTGTCAGGCATGAAAGGAAGCGAACAAAAGTCGAATGAAATCAAGCATATTTTACAGACAACCTGTGACAACTGGGCTTATGTTCAGAATTGATGAATTTGCTCTCCAAATGGTTATAATTGTTCAGCTTGATGTACTGTGTGAAAGAGTTATATGTGCCTCTTAATTTAATTGTAACTACTTTGTCTAAAAAGGAGTCTGAAGCTGAAAGTCAGATTTGAGAGTGTCACTTTAAGCCCTGAAGCCGATAGCACTGTAAATAGCTGTGGAGCTCTGTTATTTCATACTGTTAGGCAGACTTAGAAACTCGAGGTCAGACAACTGACAGGGCAGCAATAGTCAGACTCGCAAACAAAGCAAAAACCAAATAGTTGGGCAAATACAAATCAAAAGTCTGTACAATTATAATAGTTTAGGAATGAACATTCAAATTCCCAACATGACTGGTCCGCTTTCAAACAGTAATATATAGCAACCAATCGGATCCTAGCTGACATTATTCACGGGTAGGTTGCAAGATGAAATATATTATTCTAATTTTTAGTAGGAGGCAAACCTCTTGCATTGGATTATGGTTACTTTGCCCCAGATGTCTGCACGCCATCAAGGCCGCCACCTAAAAGGTTTCTATGTTTTGTAGAATTGCCATTTCTCACCAGTGTTACTTTTATAAAGTATCGTTCAACATAATCTTTCCAACATGTTCCTCCCCACGTCACCTCTCTCTTCTTTTACATTGAAATGTCATGAAGGAAGCAACTTAGAAGTGAATGTATGTCACCCTGGTGAAGGAACATCTTGCATCCATGCACAATAAAGTTAAAAAGAGGGAAGAGTTGCATTACCTCTTCGAAGCCTTTCTTCTGAGCACTGTAGGGACAAACCGGTTCCTCTGTGGCAGCTCTGTCATTTGTTGCAGTTTGCCCATCCCTAGATGTCACCTCAGCTAGCGGCTTTTTGGCTGCTGCGAGTTGGGCGTGCAGAGAATCCCGCTCCTTTGTCATTCTCTGTACAAGGTTTTTGGCCTCGCTGAACTTGTACGCAATGAACGTTCTCTCCTGTCTCTGCGCAGTCTGAATCTCAACCATCTCGCTGTGACTTTTCCGCAACATTGCATTACTCTGTTCCAAGGCCACTGGGGGACAAGAGAAGAAGCCCATCAGAAATTATATTAACGACTTGTTCACCGGGGTGTTTACACCCCCTTCCTGTTCAGGCCATTTTTCAGTATTCAGCGATGCGGTACTTTGGCTGACGTTTATTCCGTCATGCAACGCTGTACTGAAATGAATTTTGATACCATTTTTTGGGGACAGATAGAGCTTTCTTTTGGGTGGTATTTGATCACCACTGGGGGTTTTTTTTTTTTCTATATAAAAAAAAAAAAAAGTACAGAATATTTTTTTTTTTTTAAAATGGTTTTCCCTTTATTATTTTAGGAAGCATTTATTTTTACCCAATTTTTTTAGTAAAATATAAAAAAGACGGGGTCACGTTGGGTAAATAGACACCAAACATATCAAGCCTTAAAATTGCATTCGCCCGTGAAAATCGCCAAAAAAAACACCATAGCCAAAATTGGCCATAGGCGACGCTTTAAAAGATTTTACAGCTCATCAGTTCAGTGTTATCAATGATTAATGGGCCGAAAATTATTGCTTTCATTGCGACGTTCGCGGCGATATGCAACACGTGCAGCATAATTGGAGCAATCGTCGCTTTTGCGTGTAGGCGCATCTAACGCATTTTTGCGCATCTATGTGGGTGTGGGGTATTTAAAAAAAAACTTTGTGTAAATTATTTTTTTTCACTTTGTTTACACTTAACTTTGTTATCACATAGGGTGCTAAGAAATCCCCTATGTGATAAATTACAGTTACTGGTCCCCTTTATGGAGACATCAGGGGTCTCTAAGACCCCTAATGTCACCTTGGGACCCCCAGAGAAGCTGATGAAGCACAGATCTGCTTCATCAGCTTCTCTCCGGTTTCTGTACCAGAGAGTGACAGAGGAATGCGGAAATTATGTAATATACATCACTTCCTGCATTCAGAGACTGGGAGGAGAGCGGAAGGAGATCGGGTACTGATCTCCCTCCGTTCTCAGTGCACAGAGCCACATCGTCCGGGATGGATGGACGCCCGGGATCGACGGCGGGGACAGTGGCGAGAGATAAGGAGGGGGGCGCACCCTCACTTGCATCATTCAAGCGATCGGGCGTCTTTACAGACGCCGGACCGCTTGTATGTAAACGGCGATCGCTGGCCGTTTAAAATCGAGGCGGTTTCCCGCTCGTACGCGCCGGGGGGTGCGGGCACGAAGGACGTCTAAAGACGCCCACCCGCATCCAGGAGACACGTTGGTGGCGTTTACGGTTCTGCTATAAGCTCATGGTCGCTTTAGCGACCCTGAACTTATATCAGAACGGTTCCCTGAACGGTCCCCGTTAAATTAATAGCCGTCATCAGCGGCTGACAAACAGCTGATGACAGCTATTACCAAAAATCCCTGCTTCTCCTCCCTCTCCGGAGCCGCTCCAGGCAGGGATCTGTGTCTGCATGGATCCCCGCTGCTCTCCTCTGCTTGTATGGGCTGAAGCAGGGAAGATCTGAATACCGATCCTCCGGCGGAGGATCGGTAAATATCTGTGATATTTACCGATCCTCTGTGTGAAGCACAAACACTGGAGAGATCATCTGATCACTCCAATGTTTGTAAATAACTGGGGACACAGAGTACTATGTGTCCCCAGTTATGAATGAACAGGATGTGATTCACATCACTTCCTGTTAATTCATGAATTTCTCAATGGGGAGAAGCACTCACTACAGAGACTTCTCCCCATTCAAAAACTGGTTGATAGTAAATATTTTGAGTGCTGAGGATGCAGAAAAAAAAATTGGAGGGCTCTGTGTCCTCAATTTCTTTTTCTATTGCAAACGGGAAATGTCAGTGGTCTGTTTAGACCCCAGATATTTCCCCCGAAGCAAAAATGGTGTGGCCAACTGAGGTGCAAAATGTTCCGGAGTGCTTGGCAGCGACAGGGTTAATGGTATTTATAAGGTTTAGTAAATTACCCACTAGAGGGTGAAGAGAGTCAACTTACAATGACTCTGCTTCTCTTTTCAAAATGACACTAAATTCAGGAATTAAATGTTAAAAAAATGCATTAAAGTACCCAAACTTTAAAAAAAAATTTTATCTCATTTGTGTATCACTCGACTGTAGATCCTCAAATCATCTCTGAATTGGTGCTGACACTTTCCTTCCTTCTGGAGGTTGGCTACTTTTGTTCCCTATGGTCCCTGTGTGTGTTGTAAAGTAGTCACCGGTCCAAACTCACTCCCATGATAGAGTACAACCTCAATACAAATTAGCTACTTAAACGTGAGATTGTAGTCCATCACAGGAGTGAGCTTGGAGCGGTGACTACTTTACAGCACACCTAGGGACCATGGGGAACAAAAGTAGCTACCCTCCAGAAGAAAGGAAAGTATCAGCACCAATTCAGAGATGATTTCAGGACCTACAGCTGAGCGATACACAAATAAGATTAATTTCTGTTAACAGTTAAGGTACTTGAATGCATTTTTAAAGGTTTATCTCCTGAGCTTAGAGTCACTTTCAGGAGACTGTCACTTTGCCTGTTTCTAAATGGGAAAATCTGTGACAATGTCAGTGTAAAGCCCACTCCTAACCAAGTTATACACACTTCCTCCATTACAGCCGCTACTGAAATACCTGGTGTTGGCTGGTGCTAGAGAACCGAGAGGGAGGTGTGATATAGTGTGGTCCCGATGGGTTGTCCCTCCAAAAACATCCAAGTATATCTTATCCTGCCATGTATCTGCTAGAATAATGTGTCCACTGAGTGATAGGATGACAGATGTTCCTCACCCACAGTTGATAACAGATTGGTACAATAGTATATCATACACCAGACGTATCTCTCCCGTTAGGCCTCATTCACACTGTTAAGAGCCGGCCCATACAGATCCGTGCGGCGTGCATATTCGTATCGGGCCGCTCCCGGGAAGGACAGGTGCTGCGTGTGATTGTACGCAGCAGCCTGTTCTTCTCTATGGGAGTACGCGGCCGTATGCTCACCCGAGCGGGTGCCCGTACTCAGACAGGATGGATTCTGTCTGCATCCGAGCACGGACACCCGCACGGATGTGCAGCTCGGGTGAGCGTACGGCGGCGTACTCCCATAGAGAAGAATAAAATGAGACGTATACCCAATTCTTACTGTCTTAAATGTACCCATTTTAAAGCAGATTTTGCCAATCCTACTTGGAGTTGCTCAATCATATCTGACTTTTGGAGACAGGTAGTCAACCTTCTAACTACAGTTTTACAAATCCACATCCCCTGCACACCTGAAATATACTTTTTTGGTATACTAGAAGACGACCAATGGCCCCATTACACTAGGATATTCCTTTAGGAAACACTACTTATACAATTTTTTATGACATACAGCACTTTAGAAAAACTAAATGTAATTCATTTGGGATGTACTTTAAGGCTACAAGAGCTCAGTCCACCCTCTTGATTGAAGTTCAGTATGAAGATCACTAATTGTCATAAAAACACCCAAAGGATTCAAAATATTTTTCAACCACTGTTAGGTGATCTTCAGCCTACTGTCAGTGTTTCACCTATGCTGAGCTAATACAAGTGCAAATGGCAATAGGGCTGCAACCAATTGATTAAATCGATAATCGATGTGAATAGTTGTCAACTATTCACATTATCGATTAGTTGGTTGGATTCCCCAGCTCTCTCCTCCATGCTGGGAGGAGGGCACAGCAAGACGGGAGGTGGCTAAAGCGTTGTATATGGACTTTTTTGGGTACTGAACTTTGTCACCGTTTCACAGACCCACACAATTTTGCAACTGCTGCCATTTTATTCTACAGGGTCTTGGCTTCCAGAAAATATGTTTGGGGGTTTGAAGTAATTTTAAGCCCTCAAATGTGGATTATAACATGGGTGCAAAAAAAAAGCCTTGGTCATTAAGGGGTTAATGCTCTTAACCACTCACCTCTCAAGTCCTGGTTTTCAATCCACAGGCGCTGAATGGCCTCGGGACTGGATACTTCAGGCGGCAGAGTCTCCGTTTTCCCCAGAGACCCGTCCTCAGGGCCATCCTTTGTTTGAACCATTTCACCCGTCTGCCCTCGAGCGCTCATTCACTGCACACAGTTCCTTCAGGTTACCAAGCTGCACAAAGTGTGGTCAGAGAGAAAAAAAGGTAAGATAGTCACAAGTAGGAAAACTCAGAAATCCTCCTTTAGATGTAACATAACATATATATCCCCACTACAATTTCAGGCCAGGACCTCCTCTTATCAATGTCCACCCAGTGTGGTATAAATAAAACATATTAGTAAAGCAGATGTGAAGAACGGCACAGCTGGTAAAGGTGAAAAGCCCTTTACAAAGTCTGATGCACTCAATGCAAGTGAACTCTAGAAGCGATTACCCTGCTAAGATGTCTTCTTCTCAGTGACACAGCAGAAGGCCTAATAACATAGATTCAAAAATCTTCCCAGGTAAATCAATAAGAGCAGCAGCTTTTCATGTTCTTTAGGCTGTTAATGATGCCAATGTTAGGGTGAGTCCAGCTGCCAGGGGCTGTGACTCGCACCCCAATCCTCCGTGTTGCTGCAGCATGTCAGCCACTCTCTCTAGTCTGTTGCTTTCACTTTTATTTCTTGCCTCTAACCCACAGCTGACTTCCTTTTAAATTTCAGAGGTCATATGATGTGGAGACAGGCCAGAGACAACATGATGCAATAGCGATAACACAGAATAGTCATCACAAGACACTTAATGGCATTATAAAGCAGTAATCCTGGGTAGATCAATACTTGATAAGGACAGATAAAACCTCAGTGGAAAAACACATACTTTATGGCACAACATAGCACGACATCTGCTCCCCATTTATGCAGTCATACAGTGTGTTCACAGTAAGCAGAGTACTTCCTTTTCTCAAACAATACAGAACAAATGATTGAATGCAGTATTTTTCATTATGTGAATCATGCCAAGCTGTGTGGCGCTCATGGTGTTCCTTACAATACTCCGTTTTATTTTAGGATACCAAAAATAAACTTTTAATATACAAGCTAAATACATTCCAGTTACATCAATTTATATCAGCTAAATACATTCCAGATGCATCAAAACAAAAAGCTGTTCATTTTTTTTCTAAAGCATCAACAGCCTGAGTAGTAAAGCCTGTCCCCTTCCAGCATGCTGCAGAGAAGGACCCTTGCTCTCTGTGTGGAAGCAGTGGTCTCTGAAGAAGTCCCACATGCTCTGTTGCCGAGTCAGAACTATAACTCCCCATCAGGGGGCATGAGGTATGCCAGGTTGCAGAGCTAAAGGACTGATCTAGGCGCAAAGCATGCGCTTGAAAAACGCTGAAAGTACGATAGCCAAAATTGCAAGTAGCTAACATAATGATAAACTTGTACTTTGTGTTTTTTGATTATGGTTTAATAAAAATGTTTGGTTTTTTCCATGAAATAAGCACGACACTTCATAGTTAAACTTAAATGAAGGCCTTAAAGGGGTTGTAAACACTCCCGTTTTGTTGCCTATATCTACTGCTGTAAAGCAGTAGATATAGGCAAACAGTTTAAAACAAAAAAAACAAACAGCTAAAACAGCGGTTTAAACTTACCTTTTTTTCTTTGCGCGCTCCCGCCCGAGAAAACAAAACTGTTCAGGCGGCCGCAAAGCATCTTGGGGCGGGCGCATGCGCAGTTCGTATTCTCGGCCGGGAGACGAGCAGAGACGCAAGGTAAGTGTATGGAAGCGTGCACGCATGCAGACACCGCTGGATCGGAGGGACAGAGCAGTCAGCGCTGGATCAGAGAGCCGCCGCACCACTGGAGGGACAGATGAAAACATCAGGAAAGAAGAAGATCGGAATAAGAGACAGCATTTAAGGCAAGTGCTAACATTAACAGGGGGGAGGGAAATGTTTTTTTGACTTTAATGTCACTTTAAGATCATTCTTCTATCTCTGACATGTGTGCGGATCACTAAGGTGTTTCCCTCAATAGGTACTGACGCATGTACGTGTAAGGGAGGGCCGGAGTGTGCCTACCCCAGTTTTAAAGTATAGATAAAGTGGAACTCTAAGCACAGATAGCTTTATAAATGCTTAAGAGTGTACAAAAAAATAAAAACTTCCATCTGGGCTGATGTGTTAACTGTGCAGATAGCATCTTTCTGCTGTGCAATTCATACATATGGCGGATACTGCAGCTGGTGCTGTACTTCCAGCACTGAGCCTAGGAGAGCCACGTCCATGTCAGGGAAGTACATTTGAATCCATTTCTCTTTTTTTTTTTAATGCAAATTACAGGATTTGATAAACAGTTGCGCCAATATCTTGCAACATATAAAATTGCAACTGCCATCTTTTATTTTTATAGGTCCTCTGCTTTCAGAAAGTATATAATGTTACAGGTTAAAGTGTACATAAGAGCAAACAAAAATTAAATAAAATTTAGCACATCGCTGAAATACCTACACATTTTGTCCCGTTTAATCACTTTTAATATGCTGCACTTACAGGAAAATACCTGCTGATCTACCAGAAATCCAGTGTGCTCTTAACTTCCTGTTTGGGCTGACAACAGTGTCTTCTCTGGTCTGAAATCCCAACCTGCATCATCAGACCTGCCTGCTAGACTACAGAACTCTCCCTTCTTCACCGCTCTCTCTCCCACTTAACATACATTGATTTCTTTGCCAGCAAAACAATGCTATTGCATTGACCCCAAAGAGCCTGCCCGCACACTGTGTGTAGGAAAAGGGCTCTCGGAAGATGTAGTTATGGGAGCGTACCTACATCCAAAAGAAATAACCTCCCAACAGTTGCCCCTGCAGGAATTTTACAAGCCTGTTGATGGTGTCACAGGAGTACAAAAAGCAATTTTCCTCTGCAGAAAGAAGGTAAAACAAAAAAGGTTAGAACAAGATGTAGAGTGGAAGAGGGAGGTTTAGGGGTACATTTAGGCAATACTTGGATATACATGGCTAGGGGCAGGGACATGAAAACCCCCCCACTATTTTTAGTTTCTGCTAAATATTACTACTGCCCCCTGACCTCAAGAACACCTCTCCTCTGCAGCTACCCAGTCCTGCCCTGTACATGGGGTAGCAGATCACAAAACATAAAAAAGCGCAGTGCAGTTCAACTGAATGAACTATATAATGAACTGAGTACTATAGGGAGAAGGGGGCTACAGGTCAATCAATTCACCAATGTGGCAGTCATAGTCTGCTCAATCTCCAATGCTTGTCTGCTTCCTCCCGTGTCATTGTGGGGCAGTCCACCTGGCTGCTCGTCCGGTCCTAATCTTCAAAATGGCCTTTTCAGCATGCAAAGATTCTTCCCAGACCAGAGGTGAGTGGCACTCTTTTGGGGGCAATGTCATTTATACAACACTAAAATGAAAAATGTGAGTAGAGAACCTCTAACAAGCTGATCCATGCAGAATTGCAGAAGTAACAACTGAAAGAAAACTTTTGTGCTCTCCCACTACAATATAACAAAGAGAAGATAAGGAAAGGGAAGCAACATGGCGATAAAACAAGCTTGCGTCTACTGCAGCCTTCTTCATGGAGTAAGACAATGCTCAAACACAGGAGGCCTAAATGTTTGCCTCTGCAGACCCATCAGAGTAGAACTGTCAAGTTCTTTGACAACCAAAGCAAGGATGCCAATGTATGCCCACTTATTTAAGTTTAAAAGCTTCTCCTGCCACTGCCTGTCCTGGAGACACAACAGAAACAAAAGATGCTACGGAGTGAAGAGGAAGATTAAAGAGAATGTTGGGGCAAAATACAGAGATGCAGTACATTTCTGTAACACGAACATTTTCCAATGGTTTTCCCCTTTTAAAGACCCTGCAAGTACATAAAAAAAAAAAACTATCTGTGAGAAATGCACTCGGCTCTTGATTTTATTGGACTGAGTGGTGTCAGCCCTGCCCAGTTTTCTTTTGCTAAACTACTCAACCCATAACGCTGCCTCAGTGGCGTAACCAGAGTTATTGGCGCCCGGGGCAGAAATCTCCCCCCCCCAATATTATATAAACATCCACTGGAAGTCCAAGCATGCCATCATTGTCCCTGTACACCCCCCCCCCCCCCCACACACACACACATATCACCCAGGGAACGGCAATATCTGGTTGTTGTACAGGGGCAATGAGGGCATGCTGGGACTTGTAGTTCCCTAGCTGATATGTTATGCCATTATAGTACTAAGAATAGAACATATAATGAAAAACTTTTTTTTTCTCTAATACTCACCTGATTCCTGGATCCACCGACAAGCGCAGCCTCCCGTCTCCGCTGTATGCAGTATGTTAGAAACTGCATACAGCGTGTGCTGGTTACTATTTAAACCGGTGCGCGGTGTGTGCAGCTTCTGGGAAGATACGCTATTAGCATAGCGGGGAAGGCGGCTGCGCATTTTGCATCGCTCTGGTGCAGTGGCTCCTTCCCTCATGCATATGCACCCGGCTGGCCAGCCCGCCCGCCCGCATCAGACGCGGCTCTGTCATCGGGCGGCCGCTCGCTCCTCCGAGGCCCTCTACAGTGCCTCATTGGAGGGCCGCGTCTTGTTACGCCACTGCGCTGCCTTTATCTTCAAAGCATAGGCTGACTTGTAGATCAAGGAAAGGAGGGCTAAATAGGCTCTTTTAGTTAACACAGGATGTGTGCAGAGGACACAGGGCAGCTCTGAATGCCTGACATGTCCAACAGTGTTTTCCCACTTCTAAAACAGATATAACACAATGCTTTATGAGAAAAGTTCATGGGTAGGGTTTACCTACAGTATAAAAGGAGCGATTTTCCCACACCACCATTGCACAAAGTATTCAACTTAAAAGAGTGAAGCTTAAAATCAGCACTGAGATAAGAGGTCCCACGGCTCACCTATCTACAATCTATACACGGGAACAAGGTTATTACATTAACGCGTACTGACAAGATCATTTGACGTGGATCATATTAACCTGTAAATCCGGGTGGATTAAAAAAAAAAAAAAAATCAATGCTTTTTTTTTCTTTTTAAATGATCTGATTTTTTTGATTTTTATCAAATTTTAATAAAATGCTTTTGGAGTAAAAATAAAAAAATCTATCTAAAAATAGTTTTCTATTTAAGATACATTAATAATTGAGTT